AATGTCCGTCTGATACACCAGCCTATGTGACCCGGGGTTCTTGGCCATATTTGGGACCATTTTGAAATTTTCGAAAGCAAAACAACTTCTCAACGTCTCCCTCTAGTGGCAGCAAAGAGAGGTACAGACCGATGACGATGGTGTTGTAGGAGACTTGCTCCGTGTTGCGTCCGTCGTTGTAGAAGGCCAGGTGCCAGATGCCCGTGTCCAGGTAGTGGATGAAACCCGCCTCGTGGACGTTGATGGAGCGAGCGTGCCTGCTCCCGGGGACCGCCTCGTCTTCGTGGGATACCGTGAAGCCATGAGCCAGGTCTGCGTCGCTGAGAGCGCGTTTGTCTTTGGAGATCAACCGACTTCCGTCCAGTAGCTCTACAAAGTCGTACTGAGGGACACACAGAGACGGTTAGGTAAAACAATCAAAAGTGAAGGAAGATATGATTCCTAGTGTGGTTAAAATTATACAAATAAAACAAACAAAAATAAAATTATTTTGTTTTATTTATTTATTTTATTTATTTTATTTATTTTATTTATTTTATTTATTTTATTTATTTTATTTATTTTATTTATTTTATTTATTTTATTTATTTTATCTTAAGGTTTTATTTGTTCCATGTATTTTTATATCCATAAAGCTGGCAGGAGGCCGGTGTATTTAAATGTCCTGTCTCTATCCTGGATCTACAGCCTCAGTCCTGGATCTACAGCCTCAGTCCTGGGTCTACAGCCTCAGTCCTGGGTCTACAGCCTCAGTCCTGGATCTACAGCCTCAGTCCTGGATCTACAGCCTCAGTCCTGGGTCTACAGCCTCAGTCCTGGATCTACAGCCTCAGTCCTGGATCTACAGCCTCAGACCTGGATCTACAGCCTCAGTCCTGGGTCTACAGCCTCAGTCCTGGATCTACAGCCTCAGTCCTGGATCTACAGCCTCCGTCCTGGATCTACAGCCTCAGTCCTGGATCTACAGCCTCAGACCTGGATCTACAGCCTCAGTCCTGGGTCTACAGCCTCAGTCCTGGGTCTACAGCCTCAGTCCTGGGTCTACAGCCTCAGTCCTGGATCTACAGCCTCAGTCCTGGGTCTACAGCCTTAGTCCTGGATCTTTTGTCCTGTACAAAAGTTCATTGATTGGATAAGTACCACCTATTTGCAGTCTCTTCTGGTTGAGCACCCTGGCTAATCCAATATTGGCATTAGCACCGTGCTTTAATCCTAAAAAAGATCCAACATTTGTCTATTCCATTCACTTCATCTCTCCAGGTTCCACTGCATCCTGACATTTAATTTAAAAGTTAATTGACAAGAGCTCAAACCGTAAATGTCAAAATAAGTCTTTGTATCACAGTGCTTTGTTGTGGCAATTTGTTCAGGAGTATTATTTATTTTATTTTTTAAAACAGGGCAAAATTCTAGTTAGCGCTTCAAATATTCCCCAACTGCTTTCTCTCCTGCCTAATTAATCGTTTACACAGTCTAAACAGCAAAATCACAACATTGTCTGTGGACTACTTCAAACCGGCCAATTACCAAAGCTAGATTATTTATCAAAAAGCAAGTTTTTTCAGAGAATTGCTCCAGTTAGTAACCCCTATCGAAGCTAAAATGTATCTTTTGGCTTGTGTAATGAAAGGAAGTTAGCCCTAGCCTTTAATCAGTTATACACAAAAAAAACGAAAAACACTAAAGCTAGCGTTTATCCAGCTTCGCCTCGGGACCAATTTAGGTCTCTCTCCATATGGCCAAAGTAGAAGTGGGATAACGGTCACTGCTAATTTATTCTAAAAATGGAGTAAGACTGATTTCACAGATCCAAAACATGGACTAAGAATTAGGAGTGGACTGAATGTGGAAGAAACCAATTTGATTGATAGCTAGCTGGAGCCAATTTGTTTTAAGTTTTGATGGCGTTGGCTTTGTTACATGGGCAAACGTGTTGCTAAGATGGTTGCTAAGGAAAGCTGGAGTTTCTCCTGTGAATGAATAGGGAATTTTCCCTCTGTCTATAATCCAAAGTAAATATTGGTTAGTGATAAGGTGTTGGATGTGGTGGAAATGTGGTGGTGAGAGACGAGAGAGAGAGAGAAATAGACCAGGGAGAGAGACCAGAAAGAGGTCAAGAGAGGAGATCCTTGAGATAGAGAGACCGACCAGATAGAGAGCAACCAGAAAGAGAGAGATCAGGCAGACCAAGGAGAGAGAAACCAGGCAGACCGAGGGGAGAGAGACCAGAGAGAGACAGACCAGATAGAGAGCAACAGAGAGAGATCAGGTAGACCAAGGAGAGAGAAACCGGAGAGAGATTGCAGAGAGAGAGGGACCAGGGAGAAAGACCAGAGAGCGAGACCAGAGAGAGAGCAACCAGAGACCCGGCAGACCAAGTAGAAAGATCGCAGAGAGAGAGGGAGCAGGGAGAAAGACCAGAGAGAGACAGACCAGAGGGAGAGCAACCAGAGACCCGGCAGACCAAGGAGAGACCGACCACAGAGAGAGCAACACACTCTTTACTTGCTAGCAGTTATCATTTGGTAGCCTTGCTGCTATATCAACCAGTTTCAGCACTTAGTTGGCAAAGGTAAAAAAAAAAAAAAACTATAAATAACCTATATTTCATACATTCGATGAAAAACTAAACAAATGGTGGGAAGTTTTTTCATTTGAATGCCTGTGTGATAGTTTCTCTCTTGTTTAGTTAAGCACTTTGAGTTTCCTTGTTTATGAACTTTGCTGTCAACTTCCCTTGCGTTTCAATCTTTGCCACTTGCACCTGTCAAACTCTATAAAGACCCCATAAAGACCCCTAACTACGCCAGCCAATCCCAAAGACCCCATTCCAACCTTAACAAGAACATATACGTTTAAAGTCAAAAGACTGATTTTTAGCCTCCAGCCATTTTCCTCTACTCAGTCTGGCCTTAAAAGTGGTCTACAGAGACAGGAGACTCCATGCATCTAATTTACCACCGCCGCCACATTTTCTCCGCTTTTCCCCGCGCCTCCTGATCTGTTAACGTTAAAAAAAAAGAGTTAATGGGAAGTGGGATGGATGGATGAGGTTACGACAAGGACAGCCAGCCTCTCTCCCGTCATATTTAATGCGAGAATTCCCTCCTGGTGCACGGGGTGGCATTGTATCAAGCTGTCCTTTGGTGATAAGTGGATTGGTCCCCTGATAGAAGACGAGATTCGGACGCACACAGATGTAAGTGCGGTCATTAAAAGAGTTCGTAAGGAGCTTGTCTATTTCATTATGAACGGAGGATCCATAAAAAGCCGTTGACCCGAGCGAAAGAGCAAGGTCGGGGAAAGGGTTTGGGATGGTTTTGAAGAAAGAGAAAAGATTGAATCACTTTTTTTTTTTGTACATTGGTCAAAGTCGAGGGCAAAAAGCTCTTAAGGCTCTTGAGATATTCCTTTTTCATTTGGGTTATTCGCACATTTGGCTGGGTCTGAAGGAAAGAGAAGAAAAGACTAGAAAGCTAGACTAGTCGATTCATATTTGAGAGAGACACACAAGATAGAGTAGAGAGAGGGACGAGAGAGACCGGAGAGAGACCTGAGAGAGAGCGACCAGAGAGAGGGACAAGAGAGAGACCTGAGAGAGAACAAAGGGCCCGGAAAGAGAGCGACCGGAAAGAGAGCAACTAGAAAGAGAGACAAGAGAGCGAGAGACCGGAGAGCTAGCGACAAGAGAGGGACAAGAGAGAGACCAGAGAGAGAAGGAAGAACCCAGAGAAAAACACCCGAGAAAAACCAGAAAGAGGGATGAGAGAGACCAGAGAGAGACCAGAGATAGACTCGAAAGAGAGAGAAAAGAGGCCAGAACAGAACAGAGAAACCAGAGAGAGATAGATCAAAGAGAACAGAGAGAGAGCAGAGAGAGAATAGAGAGGGACCAGAGAGAGAGGCCAAAGAGACACAAGAGAGAGAGACCAGAGAGAGACCAGAGAGAGACCAGAGAGAGACAAAAGAGAGACAAAAGAGAGACCAAAGAGAGAACAAAGACAAACGAGAGACCAAAGAGAGAACAGAGTGACACAAGAGAGAGAGGCCAAAGAAAGAACAGAGAGAGACCAGACAGATCCAGCTTGGTCAAAGTCAAGGAGAAGCTCTTAAGACTCTTACAATATTCCATTTTCATTTGTGTTATTAGCACAAGTTGGCTGGGTCCAAAGTAAAGATTAGAAAAGATTGTTTCATAAGTCTCATCGATTCATATTTGAGGCAGGAAGATTTTTAAAAGCAGAGATAACTTCCAGCTTTTCTGTGGGTGATGTAGCGGGTGCAGCAGCTGGCTAAGAATAAATGACTCCCAATTTAAAGTTTATTACTAATATTAGTCTTTTTCTACATTGATAGTTCCCAGTTAATGTCCCAGTGTTATAGAGCGGTTTAAGGCCCTGTACAGAGGAAATCTAACTCAAGACAAAAGGAAAATGTGCTTTATCCAGTGTATAATCTAAACTATGATATCACACACTCTTGAAACCAGGAACGAGAGTGGATGGATCGGTCAGAGAGAGACCAGAGAGACTAAAGAGAGGGACAAGAGAGAGAGACCAGAGAGACCAGAGAGAAAGACAAGAGAGAGAGACCAGAGAGACCAGAGATACTAAAGAGAGGGACAAGAGAGAGAGACCAGAGAGACCAGAGAGAAAGACAAGAGAGAGAGACCAGAGAGACCAGAGATACTAAAGAGAGGGACAAGAGAGAGTGACCAGGGACTAGGGAGAGACCAGAGAGACTAGAGAGAGACCAGAGAGACTAAAGAAAGAGACCAGAGAGATGAGAGAGAAACAGAGAAAAGAGAGAGACCAAAGAGAGACCAGAGAGAAAAGAGAGAGACTAGAGAGAGACCGGTGAGAGAGACCAGAGAGAGGCCAGAGAGACTAGAGAGAGACCAGAGAGACTACAGAGACCATAGAGACCTAAGAGAGAAACCAGAGTGAGAGACTATTGGTAGAGAGATAGAGAAAAGAGAGAGACCAGAGCCACCAGAGAGAGACTAGAGCACGAGTGAGACCAGAGAGAAACCAGCGAGAGTGAGACCAGAGAGACTAGAGAGAGGCCAGCAAAAAACCAGAAAGAGACCAGAGAGAGAGACAAAACAGAGACCAGAGTGAGCCAAGAGAGAGACCAGAGAGAAACCGGAGAGAGACAGACCATACTGTAGAGAGAAAGACCATATACAAAACACATTCTAATCTCTATAGCTGTTGGTGTGGTACCTGTGTGTGAGATGGAGGAAGGCCTTTGCGTCCGTAAACTCCCACCAGAGCGTCTCTCTGAACCGAAATGTTGAATTTGAGGAACTGGGGCTGGTCCACGTAGAGCTGGGACCTCCAGAAGACCCCTGCAACACAAGAATTACACAATTATTTATTTATTGTCACCAGGGGATTGGTATGGACCTTGTATGTGTCTGAATTATTTAAGATTAAAGATTGAGGCAAGAATCTTAAATCTTAATTTTCTGTTAAATCCAAGTCTGGTTTTAAAATTGGCCTGATCTGATTCACTCCACACAAGCCATCGGTATGCGCAGATCACATCCACTAAAAGTTAAATTCCACAAAGGCTCCACGTTATTAATATTCTTTGCGTTATTATCACTCATTTTTCTCTCATTATCCCAAAAGAACTAATTTGCACGAAACTATATTTGAATTCATCTGACGCCATTTAAGCCACATTTCATTCACAGAGGCGTCTCTCCAAAGTAAAAGTCAGAGGTAGTTTTGACAAATGATAGTTTAGAATGATGTAAAACAGCTAAGACTAAGGGAAAATCTTGCTATAAAAGCTTCATAGTTAAGTAAACCTTTATTATGGCGCGAACATCAAAACAAATGCCCATATAAGGAAATAGGCTCCAGCTAGCTTAAAATCGGCCTCTTTCACATCAAGGCTAACACTGTAATAGAGTATTATAGAGCTCATATACGGTCTGGAAATCAGGCCTTATTCAAAACCTTTTTTTTTTATAAATTATTCTTCATTATTTGTTTAAAAAAAATAGGGCATATTAGAAATTAACTCATTCACTGCCCATGACGACAAAAGTCGTCATGTTGAATAGTGACGCTCACTGCCCATGACGAGTATGACGAGTTTTTCGTGTTATTACACGGGAGGCTGCAGTAATGTCTGGCGCACCTTGTGAAGACCCACAACACTGATATATAGTGCAAATGTACCTGTAATGATAAATCACCACCAGTAGGATGCAGTATTGCACCACAGGAGAGGTCATAAGTCAGTGGAGAAAAGGAGGAGGAGGAGTGTGGGGTCTTTGGACAGCGTGCTGCTGTAGCAGAGCGATGATAGCGTAGCATTGAGACAGATTAGCGATCTAGTTTAGCGATAGTATAGCAAGAGTGATGGCGAAAAAGAATAGTTATAAGCAGCTGACACTGCTTCAGAGATTGACTCGCGGATCAGTGAGTGAGGTCGAGAGGGGAGAGAGCGGAGACCCCGGTGGAGGTCCGTCTCTGCAGCCACATTTGCGCGGAGCAAGAGCCCCGAGCAGAGACACACCCTCCGCCTCTCTCAGCGTATCAGCTGCTGTCCATCAAAAGTATTATTTCAGAGTCATGTTTTTATAATTTTTGTAATGGAACAAATGTGAAGATGTTTTGAGTTGTCACTAAAGCAGCAAAAATGCATCTAAACGTCTCTTTTCTGCTTGATATGTTCCTGTTTACATGCAGCTCGTTTTCTCTGTTTTCTTGCTCAGACCAGGTGTTATGGGTGAAAGTATGCTTTGTTCTATGGCGAATAACGCAAGAACGGTAAGAGGTAGAAACAAACTGTTTTTTTCAGAGTAAAGCAGAGAGGTTAATCTTTAATTTGGTGCCCTTGGTGTTTACATCGTCTAAAAAATGAATATTCTGTGGCACTTCAAAGTTGGGTCAAATCACCTGAAATTGCTGGCACAATGCACTTCTCAAATCTGAAAATGCCTGGCAGTCAGTGAGTTAAGAATACAGGAAAAAATCATAACAGAAATCCTAGGTTTTGAATTACCTTTTGTGATTTTAATTGTGTTTTTAATGGGGATTTTGGTGTTTATGTTTATGAGATTTGTCTGAGTCTTGTGTGATTAATGAAGATTGATTGATTGATTGAAAAACTGAGACAGAGGGAGAGATAACAAGACATGAAATAATAAAATATGGGGTCTATAGATCAAGCCTATTTCAAAACTTTTTTTTGTTATAAATTATTTTACGTACATTATTTATTATCATGTATTTATTTTTTAACATATTACAGGAAAAATTTATTCACAAAAATCTTAGGTGAAAACTTGAGACAGAGGGAGAGATACCGAGAGATAGAGAGTGAGTTTTGATGTGAAATTGATAAAAAGCAGAGTCCTGAATTTCAATACAAGACAGACGACGATTAGAATCAACACCAGAGATGAAAACAATGTCATAATAATGTAGATAACTGTCTGAGTGAGCTCGTCGGCGCCTGCAGGTGTTTTCTGGTACAGATGTAGGTTCTGGTCTCTGGTACCTGGAGGGACTTCTTGTATGGCTCGTCTTCCCACGTCCACTTCCCCCGTGTCGATGGTGTTGTTTTCTACCAGATACATTTTTCCTGCGGAACAAACAACACAAAACGGTTAAAGTAGAAAGCGCTCACACAATAAAAGAGTGGATTTTTGTCTTAACCCGAAATGACTTTGACAGTTTTAGCCGTATACAGCATGAGCCACACGGAAAAGGTTTGAATCAACCCCAAGATGAAATAAAGTCTATACGAGGCGTGGGAAAAGTTGCGGCCCGAGAGCCATATTCGGTCCAAAACACTTTTATATGCGGCCCCCGGATAATTCCCAGTTGCTAACTTCAAACCAGTCTGCTGCTTATTTAGGTCTAAGCTTAACATGTGCAGCCATGAGAAAATTGTGTGCGTAAAAATTTGCTCTAAACCAAATTTCAAGATTTCAAGAATGTATTTGTTATTTGAAGTAAAACCATATTGGAAAAACTTTGCAAGACTACCCCAGTGTGCACTAAATGTCCACAAACACAAAGAAAACACTGGATATCTTCATGTTTGTTAAATTAATAAATATACATAATTTTTTAAAAGTCGCTTTTTGCAAAATTTAACAAGAAATTTGAATAATACTTATAAATAGGTTCGGCCCTCCACAATATAAGGTTGAATCCCGAATAAATTAAAAAAATAATTGTCCATCTCTGGTCTACATACACATAAGTCTATGGTATGGGCGGAATATTACAGCCATCAATCACGTTTCCCACTAACAATAATAAAAGCGTAACGAGTTAAAGTTTAGGAGAAACCCGACACAGAGCTCTGACCACCGGCCGCCTGATGTGGTGCGGCTGTAATTTCATACGCAGCCTTTGCCTTTCTGTCCTTAATATTATACTGTTATTGGTTTTAATGGCTGACGAGGAGCTTAAGAAGCCAGGCCTATTTAAACCAGGTCTCTGTGTGTGTGTGTGTGTGTGTGTGTATTTATGGGTGTCTAGACGTCGTGGTCGTTAGCTACACTCACACGGACCGCAGACAAACTTAGAGAGAGAGACCATAGAGACCAGAGGGACAGACCAGAGAGTGACCAGAGAGAGAACATGGAGAAACCAGAAAGAGAGACAGAGAGAGGCCAGAGAGTGAGACAAGAGAGACTAGAGAGAGAGACCAGAGAAACCCCAGAGAGTGAGAGACCAGAGAGAGAGAGACCAAAAAGAACAGAGAGAGAGACCAGGACAAGAGAGAGACCAAAAAGAGAGACCACAAAATGACCAGAGAGAGAGACCAGAGTAACCCCAGAGAGTGAGAGACCAGAGAGAGAGAGAGACCAAAAAGAACAGAGAGAGAGAGACCAAAAAGAGAGTGCAAAGAGAGACCAGAGAAAATCTGCGGCCTCTTTAAACCAGGCCTCTGCACCTCTGTTTGTATGTGTGTGCGTGTGTCTCTGTGTGTGTGTGTGTGTGTGTCTCTCTGTGTGTGTGTATTAACGGGTGTCTAGACGTCGCGGTTGTTAGTCACGCTCACACGGGCCGCGGACATGTGCCAAAGTCGCGGCGTCATCGAGCCGAGAGCGAGGCCTCTGTGTGCGACCGAGCAGCTCCCAATTTCATGCTAATTAATGGGTGTAATAGAGATGTGTGTGTACCTGGGTCACACACGCCGCCTGCACAAGCAATTAAACTGAAAACCGTTCGCTTTTACAGTGGTGGATTGAGTGCACGGTGGAATGTGCTATTTTTTATATATAAACGAAACAAATATAAGATTCCTGAAGATGGTTTAATGTCGGAAATGCAAGAATGTTAGAGCTGGGGAAGCTAGTTTTCAAACAACACAGAGTAATGTAGTAGATCTGACTATAGGCATGTATTTGTGACAAGAGAGAGAGACTGGAGAAAGAGAGAGACCAGAGAGAGATCAGAGAGAGAGACTGGAGAGAGAGAGAGAGACCAGAGAGAGATCAGAGAGAGAGACTAGAGAGAGATCAGAGAGAGAGACTGGAGAGAGAGAGAGATCAGAGAGAGAGACTAGAGAGAGATCAGAGAGAGGCAGAGAGAGAGAGATCAGAGAGAGGGAGAGACTGGAGAAAGAGAGAGACCAGAAAGAGAGACCAGAGAGAGAGACTGGAGAGAGAGAGAGAGACTACAGAGAGATCAGAGTGGCAGAGAGAGAGATCAGAGAGAGGGAGAGACTGGAGAGAGAGAGAGAGAGAGAAACTGGAGAGAGAGAGAGATAGAGAGACCAGAGAGAGATCAGAGAGGCCAGAGAAAGAGAGAGAGAGAGATCAGAGAGAACTCTCTCTCTCTCTGGCTGGACCAAAGAGAGACTGGAGAGAGAGAGAGAGACCAGAGAGAGAGATCAGAGAGATCACAGGGAGGGAGAGAGAGAGAGAGAGAGAGAGAGAGAGAGAGAGAGAGACCAGAGAGACCAGAGAGAGAGAGAGCCCAAAGATACATTCATTTATCCACCAGCTTTTGTGATTTTGGTCTTTTAAAACCAGGTTCCAGACTCATCCATTCACGAACTGCTTCTTAATTATCTCGTTAATTATACCATTCATTATTAGTTATAAAATGTTTAAACGTGTTCCTACGTAACACACGAATCAATAAAACCCACTGCCATTTTTAAAACTCCAACATTCAAGGTTAAGTAGTGCAAATAACACCGCGGCAATTGTTCAAAATGAAGCGGTCAGGATTGAATAACGGCCACGCACAATACCCAGCTTTCGCCAAATTGAATTAAAGCTACGTTTTGAGGCCGCGGTGGCGTTCGGGTTAGCCATGTGCACAATACCACGGCGGCGGTGCTAATACGGCGGCGGCGGCCAGAGCTTTATTAGACCAGGATCAAATCTTGTTCAATTACAGCGGGGTGAGTAGGGCCTTTCAGAGGAGCCACGGCGGCAATTAAAACCTGAGCCCAGATATCAACATATTAACCTTTGCGTACAGAAAATGGTATTGAATTATGATGGAGTGTGGAAAGAATGAATGAATGGGAGGTTTTGGGATGGTGGAGGTGAAAGAGAGAAGAGAGAGAGCAGAGAGAACAGAGAGAGCGCTAGGAGAGAGACCTGAAATGGAGACCAGAGAGAGCTGAGAGAGAGACCAGAGAGAGCTGAGAGAGAGACCAGAGAGAGCTGAGAGAGAGACCAGAGAGAGCTGAGAGAGAGACCAGAGAGAGCTAAGAGAGAGACCAGAGAGAGCTAAGAGAGCGACCAGAGAGAGCTGAGAGAGAGACCAGAGAGAGCTAAGAGAGAGACCAGAGAGAGCTGAGAGAGAGACCAGAGAGAGCTAAGAGAGAGACCAGAGAGAGCTGAGAGAGAGACCAGAGAGAGCTAAGAGAGAGACCAGAGAGAGACCAGAAAGAGAGACCTAAGAGAGAGCTGAGAGAGGGACCAGAGAGAGACCAAAGAAACCAGAGAGAGACCAGAGAGAGACCTGAGAAAGACCAGAGTGAAACCATAGAGAGACCTCAGAGAGACCAGAGAGAGAGACCAGAGAGAGACCTGAGATTGGATCAAATGTTCACTTCCACAGGGTGAATAAGGCCTTTCAGAGGAGCTTGCGCCAATTAAAAGCTAGAAATCAACACATTAACCTTTGTGTGTAGAAAACGGTTTTGAATCAAGATGGAGAATTGAAAGAATGAATGGAACGTCTTTGATGGTCGAACTGAAAGCCTTGGAGGAGGTCAAATCCCGAATGAATTGGTTTTGATGAGTTGTTATTAATTATCACTGTGAGGTGGTATTTGCTGCAATATTTGACGTTAAATAAGAAGAAAATACATTTAAAACATATTTGTCTGGGGGTCAGTGGTGATGATCCAGAACATTTATATCTTTAGAAAACTGACTCTCACCCAAACAGTCAAATAGCAAAACAAAAGATAGTTTTATAAAATATTTCTTGATTGCTATTGGAATTATGAATGGCTGTACGTACCTTTTGCAGAGGAAAAAATACGTTTCACAACACCATTTTCCACCAAGATTTTCAATTTCGAAGCCGTGTTATTTGCCGGAGGGTGTTACCAAGCAAAAAATAATTAGAATTATGTAAAACGTATCATCTGTCAACTCTTAATAATCACATGTAAGCTCTGGGTAAAAAAAACTAAAATAATCTCATGGCTAATTGTGCCTCAGTATTGGATCTACAGCCTGTCTGTCTGAGGGAGTGGATCTCTCTCTCACGGGCTTCTCTGAGGTTTCTCACTTTTTCTAACTGCTTTTAATTTTTAGTGGTTCTTTGCTAGCCTGGTCTTATCACAACATCATACAAACAAAATGTCATACAAAGGTCTGGATTTGCTCCATTGAGCTCCGTTAACAGGTGGGAGGGGTGAACTCCTTTTGCAGATTGAAACCATTGGATCCTAGTTTACCGTGACGTACAGTAACTAATGCGCCTGAGTGAGTCGCTAGCATTTAGCATTTAGCCTAGCTTTAGCCATCTACTTTGCCGCTAACTGAGCCAGTGGGGAGTAGAGCGACCTATTGCTCCGGCTTTCAATTTCTTGATATTTGGAGACGATCCAGAACAGAAGACTTTACTATCGCTGACATTGCCGCACTACAACCATTAAAATTGGCGCAAACTCTAGACGCCACAACGTCTCCCTACAACACTCGCCTCCCCCAATCACTGATTTGTCGGAGGGGATTCAACCGAGGAAACCGCAGCCACTAGGATCAGACCCAGACGTACATGTAGCAAGATATTAATTAACAGGAGTCTCTTTGTCGATGCAGGAGGGTCTAAGGACAGTGATCCAGGACATTTATCAACATTTATGGACCTTGGTCATTTGCCTTCTATGGACCAGTGGCCCCTATGTAAGTAAGTAGTAGTAGTAATCTTTATTTATATACCGCCTTTTCACTGCAGATCTGAGTCTCAAAGCGGTTTACAATTGTTTTTTTTTTTTTGGGCATTTGTCTCTCACTCTACACAGAGATGGGAGCGGGGCCAGTACAGGAGGCACATGCCAGAACTATTGGACATATTTTTAGTGGTAGGGGAAACCGGAGTACCCGGAGGAAACCTACGCAGACACGGGGAGAACATGCAAACTCCACT